AATAACAATCAACAAACAAATGGATTGAGAAATTGTGGTACATTCATAAGATGCAATACTATTACAGCTCTCAGGAATAATGATTTTGAAAAATACCATACAACATGGGAAAGATTGGAGAGTATTATAGTGAGTGAACTAACTCAGTCTCATAAGGACAAATAATTTGTAAGACCATTAGTGTAAAAATAAAATTATTACTAGTTAAAAATATAACTTTTAAAAAATTTTATCTTATTAATTTTAATGAACATTTACAGAGATTTTGGATTTTCATTCATTGTTGCACTTTTTTCTATACCCTCCTCCCCCCAAAAGATAACTTTTATGTCATTTTAAAAACAATAAGATAAAAAATTAGATCTTCTGGAAATAAAAATAATAATTCTATTTACTTATTAAAAATATTTGAAATGGAACAGAAGAAATATACCACTTTTATCCATCATCTTTTTCTCTCTCTCACTCTGTCTTTTCTATCATCTGTCATTGCCGTTAGGTCAGAAAGGGGTTTTCAGAGGTTGTAAATCACATGGAGGAGACTGCCCATCTTTCTCCCTTGGAGCTGCTGGTGGATTGGAACCCTCAGAGACGTGTCCCTTTGGGTTAGTAGTTCAACTCCCTAAGCACTATGCTGTTGCTATTATGTGCTGGTGACTTGACTGTGACTTGCTCTGAACCTTACCTTATTCTAAGCCAACCTCACAATCTCTGAAGTACCTGACCCCATTGTCACAATCACTGTGACAATCTGTGACTCTCATCCAGGGTCTTCCTCTATTGCACTAGCCTTCTCCTTTCCCTAACATGATGTCATCCTCCAAGTATTGTCTCCTTCTGACAACATGCTCAAAGTGAGATAGAGTTTCACCACCCTTGCTTCCAAAGAGCACCTTGGTTTCATTTTCTTCAGAACAGCCTGTTTGTTCTTTTGGCAGTCCACAGTATGTTCAGTACGCTTCTCCAAGAACTCAGCTCAAAGGTGTCAATTCTTATTCTGTCATCCTTAGATATTGTCCAGCTGACAGATATATAGCAAGCAGTTGAAAAAGACTATGGCTTCAATTAGCCACACCTTAGTCATTAGACTGGAATCATTGCTCTTTAGGACTCTGGAGAGATTCTTGACAGCTGATTTCCCTAATGCAATTCATCTTTGAATTTCTTGACTGCTGTTGCCAAGAATATTGATTGTGAAGCAAGGTGAAATTTTTAACTTCAGTCTCTTCTCCATCCTGTTACTGCCAGTTGGCCCAGTAGTGAGAATCTTTGACTTTTTGATGTTGTGCTTCAATCCACTTTAAGACAATAGTCTTTGACCTTCTGCCACAAATGCTTCAGGTCCTTCTTAGTTTCAGCAAATAAAGTTATGTCATCTGCATAATGTAGGTTGCTGATGAGTCTTCTTCCAATCCTGATGCCACACTCTTCATGAAGTCTAGCTTCCTGAATGATCTGTTAAACATACAGATTGAAATGATATGGAGTCAGGAGGCATTCCTGATGCACTCCTTTCCTGATTTTGAACCTTGTAGTGTTTCCTTGCTATATTTTGAAAACTGCTTTCTGTTCCAAGTATAGATTCATATGAACACAGTCATGTGTTCTGGGATTCCCATTCTGATCAAGGTTAACCACAATTTGTTGTAATCCACACAGTCAAATGCCTTTACATAGTCAATGAAACCCAGGTAGACAGCCCACTGGTACTCTCTGCTTTCAGCCAAGATCCATCTGACCCTGGTGATGATATCCATAGTACCACAACCTCTTCTAAACCCAGCTTGAATTTCTGGTAATTCTCTGTCAATGTATTGTTCCAGTAATCTTTGGATACTCTTCAGCAAAATTTTGCTGATGGTATTAGTGATATTGTTAGATAATTCCACACTCTGGGGGAATTGCCTTCTTTTGGAATAGGAATAAATATGGATCTCTTCCAGTTTATTGACCAGCTAATCCTCTGAATTTCTTGGCAGAACCTGTCGAGCACATCCAGGCCAGCATCTGTTCGCTGAAATATGTCAGTTGGTATTTCCATCAATCCCTGGGATCTTGTTTTGTGCCAATTCCTTCAGAACAACTTGAACTTCCTGTTTCATCATCATTGCTTCTTGATCATATGTTGTTTCATGACATTTTTCTGTGTCAATCAATTCTTTTTGCTAAAGTGGCTCTGTATACTCCTTTCATCTTTTTTTAATGCTTCCTGGGTCATTCAATATTCTGTCCATAGCATCCTTAGGTATAGCAACTCAAGTCTCGAATTTGTTCTTCAGTTCCTTCAATTTTAAAAATATCAAGTTAATTTCACACTTTAAATCAAGAAATTGTATTGCAAAATTTATTAATGAAATGATACAAATAAATGTAGTTCAATGTTGTTGTTGTTATTGATCACCATCTAGTCAAGCACGACTTACAGCAACCTCATGAACAAAAGGCCTGAAGCCCTTCCACAACCATCGCCATTTATCAAAGTTCACAGTTTCCAGAGGTATGCTGTTTAGGAAGTGGATGCCACTCCTGATTCCTGTGATAAATTAATTTCTATGTAATGGAATAATAAAAATCTAAAAGCTTTAGGCACTTGTTTAGAACAAAATGAAAACTGAGTCATCAACACAAAAGGCTTTTGGCTTGTGCATAAATGTTTGCTTATGATAATAAATTTATGAACTTTTATATAAGGGACTTAAACTCACTGTGGCTTGTTTCTGACTCATAATGACCCTTCACTTTTTGAGGTTATTAAAAACATAACAAGAAGAGATTGCTTGCCTTTCTCCCTCCTGTTTGAACCTCTGAAGAGTCACAGCCTTTGGATTCACAGTTGGGGTATGGACTGTTGACTAGGTTGTCCATAGGGGTTGACTAGGCAAAGAAATTACTTAGATAACTGATTAAAACTGTGCAAGTATCCTAGTTCACATTAGTTGTTGAGCAAAGCAACTGGAAGTAAAAAAACCCCTGTCAATGAAGAAGCTTGCTTTAGAAATAGAATGTGCTTCCCTTGTTTAACTCAGACTAACACCAAGAGGCAGCCAGAGGCACCTGATCCCACTGGAAGATTTTATATTGGACAACTATAGATATAGGCTGGCTTTATTAACATTGCTTACCTGCTCTTCTGACTTCTACTAGTCTCTTTCCCCCATTCAGAATTTACTCATTTGCAGTCACGAGGTCCACCCTGTGACTCTGCCATGTCCATTCTTGTCATTTTTTGCTACTGTGCATGCATTAATCATATGGTGCTAGTGCCTTCTGTCTCTCCCCCATCTCCTTTTCACCTGGTTCCACCCCCCACGTCCCCACTTCCCACCCATCCTTCTAAACCCACCTGGGTCTACCTCTTCTGACTACTTCAGAGCACTCTCATGCAGCACTTTCTCCATGCCTGCTGGCCTTCGCCTTCCAGTGTCAAGCACTTGAGAGTTCACTATAGTTGCTAAAGTGCTTTAGTGTTTATTTTCTCTCTCCAGCTCCATTATCAGCACTTTCAGACCAGAGAAGGCTTTTTATTGCTGAAAGATCTAGATCCACAGTTAGTACTTTGAAAAAAAAAATGTGAATACACACACACACACACACACACACACTCTCTCTCACACACATACACACCTGCACATATATACATGGACTCATACACATACACCTCTTCACATCATTGACTGCCTCAAGATCTACAGAGCATTGAATACTTGGAGGATCCTCTGAGTGTTGTTCTTATAATGTACTTGAAAGGGTCTTGTCTTAAATCAGACCTTTCGACCGTGAAGGGAGCTCAAGTAGTGTAATCCATAGGGATTTGTCCTGCTAACCCTAAGGCTGTGCTTCTGCCAGTTCAAATCCACCAGTGGCTTCTCAGGAGGGTCATTGGCAATCTCTTCCATGTAATTTACCTTCTTGGATACTCAAGGGAGGGTCAGCTATGACTTGATGTAGACTCAACCTCAATGATGGAAGCCTGTTTCTTGTGTTGTTCTATAATCACAGGGTGAAGCTAACTCTAGTCTATCTATCCATACTTAAAAACACCTCCAAAATGATTCCAGGATGGCTTAGACCTTACTATGAAGTTGGCGATGGCTTAGACCTTAGTATGAGGTTGTCTATCAGCAGTCCACCACCTTTCACATTCCAGCTTTCTACCTGGAAATACCTTTGTTCTTGGACGCTCCACTGGGATGTAGCTTCCCAAGAGGCTGAGACCTTTGCTTGTTAATGCACTTCTAGGGCACATTGAGAACAAAGCCTAGCACAGGGTCGGCAAGCTCAGTCGATAGGATTGGTGTATAAAGGAAGAGCAGTCTCCCTGTGGGACCATGTTGAATGGAAGCATCATCCACTCAATTTTTCTTTTGAAAAAGTCCTATCAACTTGAGAAGACAGCCAGGACAGCGTGGAGGAGAGCCTAAGGATGCAGGATTTGGGCCAGAGTGTCTGAATCTCAGATTCCTTCCCCTCACACTTGTGTGACCTTGGCAAGCCAAGCCACTGTGCCCCAGAGTCCTAGGATATAAATTATGGGTAACAGTGCTGCTGTCTCATAGGAGTGTGGTAGGGATTTGATACACAAGTCAGGTAAAGCATGGATCAGTGCTGAAAACAGCACGCATTATTTCTAAGTTTGCTATTACAGTTAGTTAGTCGTGAACTCTGGTGGGCTAATGGTAAGGAGTTGCATTGCCAACCCAAAAGCAAGCACTTAAATCCACCAGTAACCTTGCAGGAGAAAGATGGGCAATCTCCTCTGGTAATTTACAGCTTCTGAAAACCTGCTGGAGTGTCAGCTATGGGTCTGTTCTGACTCTATGACACTTAACAACAATAATGCAGTTATTGTTTTTAGTTATTCTTTAAATGCAACAACTATTGCAATTATTGTTAGTCTAATTCATTTCTTTTTCCCTAACAAGGACAAACGTGTCAGGTGGGTATGATTTTATTCCTGCCTAACCTTAAATATTTAGTAGAGTCTTTTCTTTCTTGTTTAGGCTCCCAAGAAACATTTGCAGAATGGAATTATCCGTGGCTACCAAATAGGTTACCGAGAGTACAGCACTGGGGGCAACTTCCAATTCAACATTATCAGCATTGACACCACTGGGGACAGTGAGGTTTACACCCTGGACAACCTAAATAAGTTCACCCAGTATGGCCTGGTGGTGCAGGCCTGCAACCGGGCCGGAACGGGACCTTCTTCTCAGGAAATCATCACCACTACCCTCGAGGATGGTAGGTTCGGGACTGTTTCTCGTCAGCTCACAGTTCCCCTCAGCCAGGCTCTGATGGCTTCAGGTTTGCAGTGACACAGGTGACAGGGCCCCACAGGGCTAGGGTGTCCGCTGGGAAATCTACCCTAATTAACTCATAAGACACATGGAGTAGGTCCCATTTTCAACAGATCTTGATTGCAAATCCAAAATCCATTCTTGTTTCAGAATCTTCCTCATTTATTAAAGAAAGCCTTGCAATTGGACTTTTCCCAGGTGAAATCAACATTTGTCTGATTACAGTAGCTGTCTGACTAGAATGAAGAAGAGTGAATTTTTTTCCCCAAGAATTTATCTAAAGACAAGGTTAAGAAGAGGTTTCGTTCTTTGCCACCGTCTTTTCTTCCTTTTTTTAAACAATTGCTTTGTATTGTGAGGCATTCTGAGACCCATGAAAAATGTGAATTAGCTGGTTTCCTTGAGCAAAATCTTGTGGAGAATGAGTGCCCCCTAGTGACTGTAGAGCTTTAAATCACCCTTTATAAGATGCCAAGCTAAAGATGAACTCTTGAAGATAAACCAAATAGCTTACATTTCCACTAGTTGTTAGACACCGTCCATTCAGTGACAGCTCATGGAAAATCTATGAACAACATCCGAACCTTGCCTTTCCCGTCAGACTTGGATAAAGAGAGAGAACCTTGGTGTCCAGAGTCAATCTTTTAGACATAAAGATAAGATGGGTATTAACAGTAACAATAAATAGTATATAAGACAACAATTTTACACTATAAATACCTCTTGTGCAATTAAGCATTTAATTATAAGTTTGAGGAGGCAAATTTTTACTTTCATTTACAATTTTCGAGTTACTATAAGGCAGGAAGTCTTAGATAGCCAAAATCTCAAAAGGTTGGATTATTTTATCTTATGACCTTTGTGATAGTAATTAAATTAGCCTTTTGGGTTTTGCATAGATGCCTGTTTTCATTAAGACGCATGCTTAAGTGGGTAGTTTACATTGTCTCCTAGCTACAGTGAAAAAAGTTCATATAAACTCAATATTAAAAATATGTCAGATATCTTCTAACTTGTTCCTAATCCATTGTTTCTCTGTAATAAAATATTTTACTCTTGAAAGGGAGGATGATGGAAACGGAGAAGTGAATAAGCTATAATTATGTTAATGTTTTTACAATTTTCCATAGTCTTTTTGTTTATATGCCAGATATACCTAAATATGGAAATATACTATATAAAGTAAATATACCAAAGGAAGAAAAATTAAATAAATATACCTTATAATGGTAACTTGCAGGAGTCATCAGAAAATAAGCCAGATGAATATTAGACTTTGATTCATGTAATCAGATCAGAAATAAATTCAACTTCTTACGTTTGGGCCACGCTACTTAAAAATGAAGAACTAAAATTACAAAAAGAGACTGTGGAAATCCATTGAAGACCTGTGCCTAGCTTCGTGATGTTTGCTGAGCTAATGAATATATGCATAGAAAAGTAGCATTTTGTTTTTGTTTGGATGCTTGTTTTCTTTTTAATTTTGATGTGTAAGTACAACTTTTTGTTACATTTGAGCTTTGAATTTTAAATGATGTTGTGTATCCAGTATTGCTCTGCTAATAATACTGCCCACAGTAACTACAGAATCTCATTATTGCATTTCAGTGCCCAGTTACCCTCCTGAAAATGTCCAAGCCATAGCAACATCACCAGAAAGCATATCAATATCCTGGTCCACACTTTCCAAAGAAGCCTTGAATGGAATTCTCCAGGGGTTCAGAGTCATTTATTGGGCCAACCTCATGGATGGAGGTAAGAGAACTAACTTTGCCCCCAGTGTTACACAAAAGAATATGCAGATCTCATTTCTACTATGAGATTCAGCATATGGTTGTTAATGGTTATTGTTGTTATGTACCATCGAGTTGTTTGCGACTTATAGCGACCCTATGTACAACAGCCTTAAACCGTGCTCTATCCTGTGCCAATCTCATTGCCCCTGACACACCCATCCCGATTACCCCAGTCACTGAATCAATCCACCTCATAGAGGGTCTTCCCCTCCTGCGCTGCAGCATATGGTAGACATGTTTTTTCTTATGAACACTATCTTCTTTTCTTCATGCTATTTTGGTGTTTGTTGATTGATTCTGTTGTGTCTTTCCTTTTTCTGAGGTTTTGTGGCTTAGTGGTAAGGAGTGGTACTGCTCCCTCAAATAAAGGAAGTCTAAATTCGCCACTGCTACCTGGAAGAATGATGGGCAGCCTCCTCCCATATGATTTGCTGCCTCTGAAAACCAGCTGGAGGATCAGCTATGAGTTGGTTCTGACAATGACACCATACACACACATACATTTTATTTCTTTATCCTTTACTTGCTATTTTAATCAGTATATCTGTCATTGTTGTTGTTTGCTGCTCTTGACTCCGACTGACAGTGAACTCACAGGTGTGAGAGTAGAATTGTTCCATAGGGTCACACCCCAGTGTGACCAGCCTCCCACAGTCTGCCCCACCAATGCTCTCCCTTGTTTTCCGTTTCTTCGACTTTTGCACTGCCTGTGCATGAGTTCAGCATCTTCTATTTAGTGATTCTTCTATCCTTCCTGAGTGGGGTTAGCACCCGAGAGGGTGCACGCTTCTGACTTTGAGTGAACACAATCTGTTCGGAGCCTAACCAGCCCAGCCCTTCTCAGGACCACCTCTACTATCCTGCCAACAGGGCCTATCTCTAAAGGAGCAGATGGAACACAAAGGGCAATGAGCAGAGTCGGAGCTGGAAGATGACAGGAGCCCTCATTGCTGGGTCTCAGGCTATTGTAGACTTGTCTCTGCCAATGAACTTTGTCCTCTTTTCCCCTCCCTGTGCTCTGCTCTTACCCCTCACCCATTGTCTTAATGGATATATTTTTGGTTTGATTGCTGCTATGGCAACAACAAATGTATCAATTGAAATATCTGCTGTTGTAGTAAATCTGTAAATAATAGAAGGAAGAAACATTTTCTTAATAAGTTGAGCTTCCCAAATAAATACTAGGTTTAAGCTTTAGCTGTTTGTATCCCAAACCAGACTTGCTGCTGGTGGGTGAGGGTCAGTTTTCCTTGAAGTGAGTTCAGTTCTTTACCAGGTGCCAGGGGACATACTATAAATAATCCACCCACTTACTCCCTGAACATATATGCTAATTGAGCAGCTATTTAGTTTGCTTGGCTCTACAATCAACACTCTTGGTACCAGCAGCCAGGAAATTAAAAAATGATTGCATTGGGAAAGTCTGCTGTCAGAAACCTCTCCAAGGTCTGAAGAGCAAAGATGTCAATCTAGAGACTAAGGTTTGTCTGATCCAGGTCATGGTCTTTGCAATTACTTGCTATGCATCAGACAGCTGGACATGATAGAAGGAAAATGAATGCCTTTGAGCTGTGGTGCTGAAGAAGAGTATTGAATATACCATGGACCAAACAAGTTCGTCCTGGAGATGATGAAGCCAGGTTTCTCCTTGAAGGCAAGGATTCTGAAGCTTCGTCTGACATACTTTGGATGTGTTGCAAGCAGGAACCAGTCCTTGGAGAGGGACATCATACTTGGGAGGGTGGAGGGACAGTGCAGGAGGGGAAGGCCCTCGATGAGATGGATTGACTCAGTGACTGTGGCACAGGCTAGAGCAGAGTTTAGGGCTGTTGTACCTAGTGTCGTTATGAGTCGCAGGTAACTCAGCAGCACACAACAACAACAACTCTATGCCAATATTATTCTAGACCTTGACGATATGCTCTCTGCCTTGAATCCTAGCCTAGGGGAGTGGGTGAATCTAATATGTGTATAACCACAAACTTAGCGGCCCCATCTTACTGTGCAGCCCCACAGGACAAGCTAAAGTAGAGGATTATTTAACAACTCCACATTCCCCCTGTGAAGACACACACATACAAAAACAGCTTTTTTATAAACACAGAAATATGCAGAACAAGGAAATTTGAAAGAGTAATCTACTTTATTGATAAAATATCATAACATTGCATGTGTTTCTCCTATTGTCTGTTTCTCATCTTGAATAAACTGAAGTTAAACTTCTAATACAGTCACCTAGGAGCAGTCATATACTAAACAAAAACAACACCAAAAAACCCCACCCAAAACAAAACAAAAAATCCAACACCTCACCCCTAAAGCCCTACTTTTACTGCATATTTTAGAACTGTTTACAAACTCCAGAAGTGATTTATCAGCATCTTCTGCATTATAAAATTCCCTGGTGGTACAGTGACTAACTACTTGGCTGCTAACTAAAAGGTTGGTGGTTTGAATCTGTCATCTGACCTGTGGGAACATAAAATATCATGATTTGCCCCAGTAAAGAGTAATGTTGGAAAGCCTATGAACAGTCCTACTCTTCTTACAGACGCACTGTGAGCTACAATCTGTCCATCAACAGTGGATATATGTGTTGTTGCTTATCATTCCTATTTCCACAAATAACTTGCATTGGTTTAGAGTACATATTGGCATTGGAATGCTGAGGTGGGTGATATAGCTAATATAGCTCAGTCAACTTTACACTTTCACATTTTAAAGAATAAATAATTTAAAAACCCCATGAGATTCTCTAATTAATGCTTGGAAATACAAACAATTCTTAATTACTTTATTTATTCAGACTCAGAGTGATTATATTAATTAGTCATGCATTAATGGATTAGTTTTGCAAAAGATATGAAAGAAACCTTAGAAACATAACCAAAAAACCCTCACGGGTTCTGCTGTTGAGTTTGTTTCAACTCAAAGTGACCCTCTATAGAGTTGTAAGGCTGAAGATAAGCCTGTGATTTACTGCCTGTCCTTCTACCTCAGAAAGGTCTTCTAAACAGTTTCTTTCTACCTGCTACCTATGCAAACTATCCTTTAAGAATAACAAGTAATTTCATGGGATTGCTAGATTCCTTCTTGAGTCACCACAGACAAGTTATCAGGCTGTGTCCCCAACGTTTGATGGGGGCAGGTTTCATGTGATTCCAAAATGACAGTATAATCATTGTTTAAACACTGTCCTTGATAAATTTTGAGAAACTCTCTCTCTTTCTACCCCTCTTCTTCCTTCTCTCCCTTTCTCTCTCTCTCACACACACACACATACACAGGCACACAGATACATTCATGCAACCAAGGAGAGATCAAGGTTGTTATTATTTCTTTTATCAGCTGTATCCCACTCACTTTCAGAATTATACAGAAGAATGCATTTTTGCAGTTGTTTATATGATCAAACATACTAAAATTAGTGAATATATTTGCCATGCCAGATTCTATTAAAATATTTGGTGACATTTCTGAGAATTTTATACAATCAGTAAGTTCAATTATGTGAAAGGTCTATCATTTGTAATTGTTAGAAGAACTTCACAGTTTGAAAAGTCACCATTTCCTTCTGTATCTTCATCTCATGGTCATTTTTTTTCCCTTCTGAGAAGAAAGCAACATTTAGGTGTCAGTTGCTGTATATGTGCATGTGTGGCCGTGCTTCAGACAAGTTCATTCCTCCCACATTTTTTTCTTTTTGCTTTCCAGCCCTTTGAGAATTAAGTGTATTAAAAAGTTGTTATTGTTGTTATGTGCTGTCAAGTCACCTGCAACTCACAGAAACCCTGTGTACAACAAACAGCCCTAAGCCCTGCTCTATCCTGAGTCAATCTTTTTGTCTCTGACACACCTATCCCCATTACCTCAGTCATTGAATCAAACCATCTCAGAGAGAATCTTCTCTCTTTCTCTGTCCCTCCATCCTTCCAAGCATGACGTCCCTCTACAAGGACTAGTACCTCCTTGCAACATGTTCAAAGTATGTCAGGTGAAGCTTCAGAATTCTTGCCTCCAAGGAGCAGCCTGGTCTCACCCTCTCTAGGATGAACTTGTTTTTTCTCCTAGCTGTCCATGGTCTATTAAATACTCTTCTCCAGTGCCACAGCTCAAAGGCATTAATTCTCCTTCTATCATCCTTAGTATTTGTCCCGCTTTCTGATGCATAGCAAGTAACTACAAAGACCATGACCTGTATTGCATGCACCTTAGTCTCCAGACTTACATATTTGCTCTTCAGTACTCTGGAGAGGTCTCTGACAACAGATTTTCCCAAAGCAATGTCTTTTTATTACCTGGCTGCTGGTACCAAGAGTGTTGACTGTGGAGCCAAGCAAACTAAAGCTGTTATCAATCTCAATCTCTTTACCATCTATCATGAAGCTGTCAATTGGCCCAGTGATCAGAATCTTTGTTTTCTTTATGTGTTCTATTGCCATACCTTTTCAATCTATATCAGAAAATATTGTCTGGAAAATTGGGCTCTGTGAGGAGAAATGGGGCATTAGGATTGGAGGAAGACTCATAAACAATATTTATTACTCAGATGATGCAATTCTACTTGCTGTAACTGAGGAGGACCTGAAATGCTTTCTGCAGAAGATCAAGGACTGTAGTCTTCAATGTGAATTGAAGCTCAAGATCAAGAAAACAAAGATTCTCACCACCGGGCCAATGAGTAGTAAAACTAAGCACACAAAAATACTTTGTTTTAAAAGCTTTATTTCTTTTTAAAATTGACAGAATATGACTTCAACACTAATTTTATTTCTGTTTAATATTATCTTTCTCATCACCTCCAGAGAAAGGTATTAAAGTAGTAATTCAAGAATAATTACAGTAGTGTTTAATTCCTCTTTAATTCTTTATTTCCTATGTACTTATTTCCCTTTTGATATAGAACTCCTACAGCCTTAGGTCCTTGCATGACATAAACAGTTTGCATGTGTTGGAAATCACCTCGAAGGACTGTAGAAGAAATGCCTGGCAATCTGTTTCTTTAAAGGTCACAGCCAAGAAACCCATATAGATCATAGAGCTCTGCTCTGCCCCACATGGGGCTGTCATGAGCTGCAACTGATTTACTGAAAATTGATTTGGTCAGTATAGGTGATAGAAATCAATGTTGAAACCATTGGAAAAGGAATACAACCAATACAGGAATGGCCTAAGAAGTACACAACTTTTTTGCCATCTTTTTTTTTCATTTTTTTGTCTTGCATTTCATCCATACATCTCTATCTTTTGTATTTCAACAAAGATTTACTTTTCAGTGGAAAGAGTAATTTACCTGCTCAGAGAGTTTCAGAAATCTTTGCACTCGTATTCATGCTCAATAAGAAGTGAGTACTCCAAAGTTACGGTTTGAGCCCACCAGCTAATGGGAGAAGGATGGGCAGTCTCCTCCCATGTGATTAACTGCCTCTGAAAACCCGCCAGAGGGTCAGCTATGCGTCAGTTCTGCCTCTACGGTACTCAACACCACCACCAAAGTTGCTAATGTGAATCCCAGAATTAGTGCACTCTCAACCTTATGCACATCCAAAAACTTCTCCAATAGAGTAAAAAGGGAAGCCACAGACTGGGAAAAAATATTTGGTAATGACATGTCAGATAAGGGACTTATATCCGGAATTTATAAAATACTTGAACACCACAATAAGATAAAGGTAAATAATCCAATAGAAAAATGAGCACAGGATATGAACAGACACTTCACCAAAGAAGACATTCAGATGGCCAACAAGCACATGAAGAAATGTTCAAAGTCCCTAGCTCTAAGAGAGATGCAAATCCAAACAATTATGAGATATCATCTCACCCCAGTAAGAATAGCAAAATATAACAGCACAACAAGCAACAAATGCTGGCGAGGATGTGGAGAAACTGGAACTCTTATTCACTGTTGGTGGGAATCTAAGATGGTGCAACCATTGTGGAAGGCGGTGTGGTGCTTTCTCAAAAAATTGCAAATAGAGATACCATTTGACCCAGCAATCCCATTACTGGGAATATACCCCAGAGAGACCATGTCTGCCATCCAAGCAGATATATGCACACCCATGTTTATTGCAGCTTTGTTTACAATAGCAAAGAGTTGGAAGCAGCCTAAGGGCCCATCAACAAACGAATGGATAGAGAAGCTCTGGTATTTCCACACAATGGAATACTATGCAGCATTGAAAAACAAGAAACTCATGCAATATTATTCAAAGTGGGTGACCCTGGAGGACATTATGCTGAGTGAAATATCTCAGTCACAAAGGGACAAATACTGCATGGTGCCACTGTTGTAGAATGGGTCTGACATCAGAGTGGGGGTATGACAGAAAAAAACTGGATAAATTATGTATATTGTATTGAAACAGATGAGGGAAAGAACAGATTAGAAGTGATATATGATTGAGTATTATGGTTAGCACAGGAATCCAGAATTAAGGTTGCATAGAGACATGTACTCAGGGTGTGGGGTGGGGGGAAGGGATATGGGAATTGTATACTAATGAAGGAATTTTTTTTTTCTCTCTTCGGAGGGGAAGCGAGCTGGTGGGGAGGGGTGGGCAGGGAGAAAATTGCGGCAATGAATGAATGGAAATACAAAACCTCTGTAAAAAAAAATTTAGAAAAAATTATATTGTAAGTCTTTAGTAGAGTTAATGTTTTTAAAGAACATTTTCTTGAAAAAGATCAAGGTGAACCCATTACTTTTCTCCCTTTAACTACTTTCTTCCTCAGGATATCTTTTTCGAATAGGCAGCCCAGCCACACTGACACCACTTCCTCTCACATCGTAGTGGGGCTTGTACTTTCTTCATGAAGTAGAGGCCCCTTGTGCCTCACTTCGTGATAAGAAAACAGATTCCCCAAGATGTCAAAACCCTTGCTCAGGTTCTTATAACTAGTGGCTGGCAGACAGCCCATGGATACTTCCTGTTCCTTGTATTTTCCGATTGTGTGTGTGCGTTTTGATATATATATAATCTGTGATGTGCATTTACAAATGTGTATATGTGTACATTTGTATGTGTACTGAGTATTCATGTGTGTGCATGCATGTGTGGTGTGTATGATTTATGAATATAACCCTTTGCTGGCCTTTCAAGAAACCACTCTCTGCTCTCCCCTCTCCCGTGTTCAATCCACTGTTTATCAATGAATAGTTTCTCTAATGAACACTGCACTGGAGTGGGAGAAGGGTGGGACTCTCTGAAAGGAAGGGATGATTAGTCATTTTGGGTAGAGCCATTGACAGTCTGGAACAAGATACATATTACAAAGTGGACTGGGTGAGAGGGGAAGGAGGAGGGAGGAAAATGTATATGAATGAATGACTGACTGAATGAAAACTCATCCTTTCACTAAAAACACAATTTTAAAAGTTATAATGAGAGAGCGTAAAGAAAAGAAATAAAATAAGGAAATCACTCTCAAGAATCTTTTTTGGGCTCACCCACCTCACTAACTTTTTTCCCTGGAACGGTGGTCTACTCCCAACAAAGCACCCACATTTTGCCCCCATGTAAACATTTTCTTCTTATCTCTCATCTCTATCTTTTTGCTTACTTATTTAATCTCTTTTATGTCTCAAAAGAGATTTACTCAAAAACACCACTAATTCCATCTTAATATCACAAAGTCAGCCCACTCCCAATAGGAGAAGAACCAAAGATATAATGTGTGTTGGAATTGAAACACTTGTTTTGGGACAAACACAGTTCAAGCCGTAACTTCTGAGATACCAGGCCCTTGTATCATGTTCCTGACCCAGGACTATGTGTGTGTGTGTGACCTGTGTGTATCCCACGCTGCCCCACTTTCTGCCTCCATCACAACGCTTGCCATACCCAAGGCACTGCCTGCCCTTGGCTACCTGGGGTTATTTTAAATTGTGTTTTTGTGCTACTCACAGTTCAGTTCTGATCTTTCTGTGCCAAGTGCTCACACACATGTGCACACGTACATGCATGCAAATGCACAGTGCTCTGGAGTCATTTTGGGATACTGATCCCAAAAGTAGTTCATCTCTAAATTTGTGTGCAGTATATCAGAAGGATGAGAAGAAAATAAAAGAGGAAGAAGAGAAAAAACAAGCTAGCAGAAAGCTCATGTAGTCTTCCCGACAGATTGCCTCTTCAGATTCTCCCTTACAGTCTACTTGCCTGAGGGACAGTGTTGCAGCAGGACTCAGCCTGCTCGGAAGACTCTGGACAGTGACATCTGGCTCTCGGGTTCCTGCTGCCAGTCACTCCACTAGACTCCATGACCTTAAGCAAATGATTGTTGCTCTCTCGGTCTCATTTTCCTCATCTGTAAATTAGTGGCTCTGTAGAAATTGTTCTGGCTCACTGAATTATCAGAGATGCAGAAGAGCACCAACACCTAAGTAAGCATGCCCAAGTTGTTAGTTATTTTTACTAAGGCCAGAGAGACAATGGCACTTAAGGCTTTGCGAGTGTTTCTGAATGTGGCTTTTACCAGAAGCAACTCCCCAGCAAGGAATCGCTTGGAGCTCTGCCTCGCGCCCTAGTTCTGCTCAGGCACATAGCACCACATGCCCCTGCAGTAGACTTACACCCATCTATGAGCAAGTCCTGGGGGTCACTCTCAGTCCCCAAGTCTATCCCACAGGTGCCTCATTTCAAAACCCAAGGGGCTCAAACACTCGTGTATATATTTAACACATCATTTATAAGTTTTCTAAAATTGCCATAGATAATATACCAAAGATGAGCGATTATAATGTTCCACCTTCGAATATTATTATTAGCTGATCCCACTCTGGAGAATGAAGCATTTTTAGATAACGCCAAGTTTCTGACACATCAGCATGTTATTTTTGCAATGGAGCTGAGAAAGGTTCACTCCAGGTGAAAGGAGAAGTTTCTTAAGCCACCTTATCATGGCTCTGATATTTGAGAAGTTGTTAGGTCCTTTAGACTAAAGCATAATTGGTTTAAAAACAAAAATACTTGTGAAACTTCCTAATGAGCAGTTAGCCAGCTGCCCTAGGTTGATTCACACTCATAGTGACCCTTACCTGCAAAGCTGACCTGTGCTCCAGAGGACTTCCAATGGCTGGTTTTTCAAAAGTGAATTGCCAGGCCTTCTTTCCAAAGCAACTCTAAGTGGGCTTGAACCTCCAGCCTTTCAGTTAGCAGCAAGCCTGTTGACCATTTGCAACATGCAGAGATTCTATTGAGGTTAAAGGAGTGTATTTGCAAGGAAATCAATGTAGCCCCCTAGACTTCTTGCTGATGAATGTAAGGAATCCTCTTAATTAGCATCTGTTTCAGTTTTGTTCTTTGGTCCGCTATGGCACTGTTGTGTTTATAACACATTTTTCAGAATGAGATTTTCTGCTCTTGTCGGTTGGGTGGTCACTTTGGTATGAATCACATCACCCCATGGCATCAGTGTTACTTGCTGACTGTTTTCAGGACCTTTTCGTCATTTCTGTGTATGGGAGGGAGAAAACTGGCGCTGACCCCACAGTAACAAAATCGTGCTTGCATTTTTCCTGTTTTCTAGAGCTGGGTGAGATTAAAAATGTCACCACCACGCAGCCTTCCCTGGAGCTGGATGGGCTCGAAAAATACACCAACTACAGCATCCAGGTGTTGGCTTTCACCCGTGCAGGAGATGGAGTGCGAAGCGAACAGATCTTCACCAGGACCAAAGAGGACGGTAAGAAGGGAGACGAGAGGCTGGTGGAAGGTGGAAGGCTCAGTTCCTGCTTTAAACACCAGGGGTCGCCAAAGGCTCCTCTAAATGACAGCTTTCTTGGACTGAAGCAATTGCTGAAGAAGTCCAGAGAGCTCACCTTTGTGTTTTTTACTTTGTTTCCAGTGAAACTTCCAAATTATCACAGTTAGACGGAAATTCAGAATATCAACTTCCTGGCTTCCTTTGTTGTATTTGTCATTCCTTCCCTCACAGTTTCCCTGTTTATCCCACTCCCTTCCTCTCCTCTTCTGCCCCCATTTCTTTCTGTATATTTCTAGTGACATTTCCCTTTGCCCCAGGGCTGTGATCATCATATCTATGTTGTATTATTCTTTTAGAATAATTTTACTGGTCCTTCAGCTACTAGTGCGTGTTCTGGTCACTTATATCTTTTGAATTGAAAACTATGCACTGGATGGATCTAAAATCTGTTATACACAAGTTGAATTACTTTAGAATGAGTCCTTAATATGAATGCCTCTTAATAATTTTAAAAATGTTTATTATCTTAAAAGAATTTCTAATGATTTAGTGAAGCTTTACATCTTATTTCTATTTGTTTTAGGCAGTTAACACAGTCTGATTTTAGTTGCCAAACGTACAAAAAACAGAATGCAAATAAATTTCAATTTTTTAGGGAAATTCTTGAGAGCTTTATCCAAGCTTGTTTTAGGGATAATTTAAAATCTAATAAACATTATAACATTAATGAGAGAAGTCATCTCTACCTTAATAAAGCAAGGAGCAGTTGATGTCAAATTTATACTCCCATGGCACCTTCTAGATCAGATAGCAGAATAGTATGAGAGATGGACTATCAACTGAGATATCAGAGTATCCAAATGCTTGATTTAACCTTGAAATTAATCATTATTTTCTCTCTAGGGTTCTGTTCCTTAGTAAATCGGACATGGATGGTGTGAGAGAGCCATTACCTATTGCTCAGGACTTCTCATATCTTTCTAATTTTGATGTCTATACAACCTCCTGTGTTGCATAGAATATTAAATATGATACTGTTCTATGTCAGCTCTGTCTCATGGACACACCTATGTTCAGATGCCTGGATTGACTCTTAGGGCTTTCTGTCTCACAGACCACCTTTCACTGACCTTCAAGGCATTCTTATTCTCACTGTTTTCACTCAGAAAAGGAGACCTTTTTTTTTTATTCCAAAGAGCCCCATCCACCCACCCCAACACATTAGCTCACACTTTCTCTAGACTTTCTTGTATTAAAGCATAAACACACTTAAGTAATCATTAGCTTTTGCTTTCGAAGACATAGAGCTAATTCTTCCTGGGAATGTGCAGGTGTTAGCCAGTTCTGAAAAATTGCATTATTTAGGGATTACTTAAATGAAAATGTCCCGCCAATATTGTGATGAGGTACTGCCACATCAACTCTGATTCAGTGTTATCTATGTGTACAACCTCACGTAATCCTGTTCCAGCCTCACAGTCTCCACTGTAGTAAGCCCATTGTTGCAGTCTTGTGAAAATCCACCTAATTATGAGTCTTCTTCTCTTCATTGACTCAATCCTTTTCCAAATTTCTTGTCCTTTTACAAAGACTTGTCCCTCTTAATAACATGCCTAAAGTATGTGAGATGCAGTCTCACCATCCTTGTTTCTAAGGAACTCCCCGACTGTATTTCTTGTGCTATCTTTGTAATAATTATAAGCAACTATTACAAGCACAAATGGAGATTTCAGTGTTAATAATGTCTCTCTAAATTATTAAACATTTGTACATTAATAAGTAAAAATTCAGTTCACTCCTTTGTGTCTGAGGTATTTTATAACCTGGTATCCCTACCTGCCCATATCAGAGATTTCAGAGCTATAAATTGTGCTATTATGTTGCTACTAACTTTAAATGCAAATGTTAGCATGAGTAAAAACTTTTTCATTAACTTTTTCCAGAGGATGATTTGCAATTGAAAAATTTCTTTAGAAAATAGGGCTTTTGTGTCTTTGGTAGCTTCTCAAATTTTGTATAAAGATTTTTGGAAGCTTCTGAATATGCTTCTCAATATACGGACATAGTTTGTGGTCCACAAGCATATTCTCAGATCATAGATATGGTAGCAGGCTTATTTTTGGTCCATGAGCTTTACCTAGAGTTTAGGGCATCATCTTAGATCTCAGGTCTATGACGTAGTCTCGGATTTATGAGAATACTCTCCAGTCTGTGATATCATCAAAGGCCTGTGAATCCTAACCATAGCCAAAGAGATGGTTTTAGAACCATGGACAGAGTTTCCAACAAGGATTAAGAAGACCACATATTATTTGCTAATAATAAGACTCCCTCTTGATTTTTCAGCATTTATGGTATTTCTCTCAGTGGTATTTCCTTAACCTAATGAAACTTCTCCCTCCCTAATCCCCCCCATTCACCTTACTCATTAATTGTTGCAGCTTCATTTTGCATTTACTTTTTTAAAATACATATATTGAATTAAATTGTGATACTGCAATAATGGGAGTGATTGGTTAGAGCAGGTTAGACACAAATATGGCAAAGTCATCTGGTGTGGTCACTCAACTTGTTTTGCTCAAGTGCCTAGGCTCCTGAAGAGAAACTGTGCAAAACTGATCATTGAGAGAGGCAGACAGCTTGTTTTATAGAAACAACTGCTTTAGGGTATTCCCTGAGATAATGATGCTTAAAAGAAGTCCACTTTAGCTTTGGAGTAGAGGTGGAGAATCAGGCTGTGAATATTTATACTGTTGCCAAATCCATAACAAACAAACACAAATGCCCCCTTCCCCAGGCAGCTTTGTTCCACAGAAGCTCATTAAACCAGGATTTGTCATAGGCTTATCTCCTTTGCTAGACCTTCAGGTGGCAGCAAGACTTAAAAACTGTAACAAAGATTTTACATTTTCAAATGGTCATTGGACCCAACCCAAGTTAACTTTTATTATAGTTCTGAGTTTTGTTATTCTGACTTAGAGTGATAAAGGTGACATTTATGTAACCCATATTTAGTGCAAAATTTTTTAATCAATATTTTCTGAATTCAAATGAGTGTATTTAAGGAACTGAGATTTACTTCCTCACAATTCTCCAAGTGAAAAGTCCAAATGAGAATCTCTACCAAGTTGATCACTTCCTTACTTGTAGCCCCCTAGATATTTCTTGGCTCACATGTATAGCATGTATCTTCTTTTTTCCCCTCCCTTCCACCCTCCCTTTCTCTCTGTCTCTGTGTGTACTATGCTCTTTTTGTAGCCCAGGAGCTATAAGGTGTGAACCCCCCACCCTTCTTAGGCATTATGTACTTAACAAAGAAAGCAGTTTCCAAACAGGACTTAATCCACATTTATACAGGTGGGAGTCCAACACGTATTTTGGGAAGGGGCACTATTCAGTCTGTAACAGTGAGCAATTACCTTCTTAGTGAAGCAGTAAGAGACTCAAAAGATTGCTCCCTGACTTCGACCGCTTCTTTCAAGATAGGCACCATGTGGCACACTATCAAACCAGTAAAAAAGCAGAGCAAGAGAGTTGTGACTTCTCAGTCGCTTAATGTTCCTTGCTCTTATCCCTGCACCCCCTTCACCCCCATCCTTTTTCCATCTGGACAGCAAAAGGAAAGATATGCGGACAGGCTTTCTCTGCATCCAATCTCACTGCCAAATCTCTCTTAATGTTAGTGCTAATGTGCACTTTCTAAGATAGCTTATAGAAGAGTTTGTCATCTCTATGAATTATTAACCTTTGAGACGAAAGTCTTTCACTCATAAAAATACTTCTAGTCTTCTTCTGAGCCAAAGGAAGTATTATTACAAAGTTTGGAATAGAGAAAGGCCCATAGTTTTCCCTCACCTACTCACCTAAAGGTTGTTGGTTCAAACGTACTTCTGCAGTGGCACTGCAGAACAAATATCTACTGATCTGCTTACGCAAAGATGAGAGCTGAGAAAACTCTGTGGAACAGTTCTATTCTGTAACACATGAAGTCACCTCAAGAACTCACTCAAAGGCAGTGGTTTGATTTGAGACAGAGAAGAATCAGTTCTCTGATAACAAAGTAGTTGCCCCCCCTTCCCCATAGCCACCTAGCTCATGAAGCAAGATGTGCAATTCTAGACAATCCAAAACCAAAAATCATAGCACAAAGAAACAGTCACCTGAAATCTAAGTTCTCTGGAAGTCAGAGGTAAGAGATCACTGTGGTTCCCAGGAGAACAGAGCCTGGGGGTGTACTTGAAGTGCTGAGCAGGGGCCTCAGAGATCAGTGGAAGCACCATTGTTTAAATTTTTTATTTTTGGATTTTTTTTTAGATGCAACATATATGTTTTATAGCATATTCTTCCCATTTCCCCCCCCCCATTTATTCATTGTTGCACATTTTCCTCCCTGCCCACTCCTCCCCACCCCAGTTCACTTCTCTCTCTGGAAAAAAATTATTTCATTGTTATACAATCCCCTCCTCCCCCAGGGAGACCAAAAGCCTTCATATTTTTAGAGTTGAGGGAAAGGGAAAGGGCCCCAAAAAAGTAGGGCCTCCAATGGCTGACTATTGAAAACAAAAACTAAAGAACAAGTATTAAGGTGGAAGACTTGGAAGCACTATTTTTGTGACCAAATGCCCTTCTCTTTCAGTTCCAGGCCCACCTGCAGGAGTCAAGGCAGCTGCAGCCTCAGCCTCCACGGTCTTCGTGTCCTGGCTTCCCCCTCTCAAGCTGAACGGCATCATCCGGAAGTACACTGTATTCTGCTCCCACCCTTATCCCACAGTAAGTTGGTAAATAACTAAGTGCCTTTGACGTATCTTCCAAACAAGAGGAGAGCATACATTTTGGACAGTTTCATCCTTTGTTTTCCACCTACTGGTCTTGCCATGGGTTTTATTTTTCCCCTGTTGTCTCCACATACAATGCAAAGTCCTCATTTACACCTCACTTGGAAGTATTCATCTGAATCATGAAAAGGGACACAATGGCTTAGAATTATTGTTTATTTGGTGAGTTCCCACAAAACTGCCTATGGGCTTATCAAAATCAAAGCTCAAAGGACTTAATTGTGCTTTAATTGATAGTCAGTGGACAACACCTATTGATTTTGCTGTTGGGCTCATCATTAAATGCATTTCACTCCTCTGTGCATCTGCCCTCCCCTCTCTGAACCTCCCTCCTACCCCCAGCTCCATTCTCTGCTTCATCCCACACTGAAAGAAAGCAGCAAGCAGGCCCCTGCTGTGCTAGAAATGATGGGATTTATGAGACTTTATAGCTCTGTGGAGACTCATGGAGCTGCAAGCAGTTAAATACTAGCAAAAAAGTTGGCAGTTCAAATCCACATGGATGTTCCTAAAAAAGAAACATGGAAATCTGCTTTCAAAGTGTCACAACTTTGAAATTCCTGTGGAGCATGTTCTACTGTAACACCTGGTAACACTGTAAGTGGAAATCAAATCAATAGCAACTTTTCACTCATATAACTCCTATAGCATCTCTAAGCAAGGCTGTTACTCTAAGAGTTAGAGGTTTGAAGCCATCCAGAGAAAATTTTGAAGAAAGGTCTGATTGTGAACTTCTAAAACTTTAGCCACTGAAAACCCTATGGAATATAGTTCTATTGTGACACATGCAAAATAACTCTGTGTCAAGATCAGCTTAGTAGCACTTACGTGGTTATGATCCTTATTAATGAAAATAATCAATTTAGTATATCATGTTGTTGTTGTTGTTGTTGTTGGTATGTGCCATTGAGTCACTTGCAACTCATAGTGACCCTATGTACAAGAGCCCTAAATGCCATCCTATCCTGTGCCAC